ATATAACAATATAATATTTTGTAAGTTTAAAAATTTCATGTCACATACCTATATATATATATATATATATATATATATATATATATATATATATATATATATATATATATATATATATATATATATATATATATATATATTTTGTTGTCATATTCATATATATTTTGTTGACAAAAGGTTGTTTTTCAGTGCATGATTATAGTTTTTTTTTTGGGACAATAAATTTGTTGGTATATTATACCAACAAATTTATTGTCCCAAAAATATAATATTTGTTTTTCTGCATGTTTTTCTAACCAAGTAATTATGCACTAAACAAGTGGATTGACAAAGAATACCAACAAATTTATTGTCCCAAAAAAAAACTATAATCATGCACTGAAAAACAACCTTTTGTTAACAAAAGAATGGCACAAATTTCCATTGAAAATGGAAATTTGTGCCATTCTTTTGTTAACAAAAGGTTGTTTTTAAAGTGTAAGATAACAGATAGTCAGTATCTAACTTGTTTTGTATTTTTTTTAAAGGTAACTTAATTACTTTTTTGTAGCAAAATGTTTTATAATTAGATTCATTTTCATGTTGTAAAGAATACAACTTTCTACATCAGATGAGATATATGTTAAAGAAAGCATTAAAAATAAAAATAACAAATCATACTGCTCTTCATTGCCAGAACCTCCGCCACCTATTATGAATAAGCCCAATGCTAAAAGTATAACATAAATATCATAATTTTTTCTTAATGGTTTATAAACTGAAATAGATTCTTGTTTAATTTGATCTGAATAATATCTATCTAGCTATTAGTCTTTTTTATGTGTTACTAAGATTTTCCTTTTATTTTAACTATTTAGGTGTCCTATTATATGTAAAATTGTTAAATTGGTTACATATATTTATATCATTGACAACATTCTATTGTATTAAATAATCCTTTAATCAACTTGATATGAAAATTGAAAATTGATTGAAAGCATGCTGAAGTTGTTTGAATTCAGAAATTGAAAGAGTACAAAATTGGTTGAAAGATTAAATTAAATAACAGGTATGGTTGAGGGATTATTTATAGTTCTAATTATAATTATTTCTTTTGAATAGAGTTGTTATCAGATTTAAAGATTGAAGAAGATAATTTTTCTTCACATTTTATTGATGAACACCAAGCAAAGTTCACATTGTCAAAGAGTTTTAAGTTTTAATGTGAGTAATTTTGGTTTTTACACCACTGAATGTTAATGTGGAGGTCTTTTTTATTAATTTGTTTTTGTATTAAAATAATTGTAAAAGATAGGTATAAAAGAATAGAAATGGATTATTTATGATATTGTGATCCGATAAATCATGTGTGTAGCATTTTATCTTTAGTAGTTAAGCAAAATTCTTTAATATCGTAGCCTTTTACAGGATAAAGTTTTAGCTGATTTAAAAAGTAGGTTTTCCAAAATATTATAGCAACTTCTGCAATGGAGTAATAAAATAAACTTACATGGATTTTTGAAATTTTAGTTTAAGTTACTCAAGCATAATTTGAATTTTAAAGTTCTTATTTCATTGTTTTGCTATTTGGTTTTATGAGCTAAATATGTTAATCAATCTTTTTATTCTTGTTTGTAGAGATGCAAAATGTTATTCTCACGGAGCTTGCAGAAATAAAAGTTCTTTTAAAAGAAGTTATAGAAATTAAGTTTCAGGCTACTGGGGTGAAGTTGCTAGAATCGGTGGACGAAGTGGTTACACTGGATAATAAACTAAAAGATAAAACCGAGTATACTAATTTGGTATAATCTAATTATCTTAATTTTTAATAAGTTTGTTTAAATTTGGTTTATTAGTTTAGAATCTAAATAAAAAGTATTTGTAAATGAACTAAAATAACTAGCTTGTGTTAGACTCAATATGTTGTAAAGAAATTTAAGTTACACTAGTTTTTATTACATTTATTTCAGCTTGATAGTTTAAAAAAGATTGGTGGTGGAAAGCCAAGAGAACATGTTTTTTTGATCATGAAAAGGTAAATGATTGTTTTTATTAATTATTAGAAATATGATTAAAAGGGACCAAAAGCAATTCTTTTTGACCGTTATTTGTTATGGATTTACTTTTAACATGACAATTTGATAAACTCGGGAGCTTCGCTGTAGGTGTTTAAGTTTGTTTGTGTACTAAAGTAAGTGTAATGCTAAACCTTGTTTAGCATTTTATTTTCAAATTTAATGCTTTTACCTTTCATAATTTTAAGCATTCATTTATTAAAATATATTTTAATTTATTAAATACATTAAATTAAAAATCTTTATATATTTCAGTTTATTGTTAAAATATTTATCAGGTTATTTTCGAATCAGTTACAGTCCAAATTAAATCGAAAAGGAAATGGGGAAAAGATAAGCTTAGAAAATCTTGTAAATATATGGAGTGTTTTAGGAGGTATAGTTTTAATAGTATTTACAAAACTGATATCTGTATTAAAAAGATATTCTTCGACTTTTTTGTGTCATGCTAGAATTTTTGTATCCATAATACAAGTTCCTTTAGTTTTTCATAAAAAAATTGTTGTTTATTATTGTATCTAGTTGAGATACAAAAATCTTGTTTATATATATATATATATATATATATATATATATATATATATATATATATATATATATATATATACATATATATATATATATATATATACATATATATATATATATATATATGTATACACATGTATATATGTGTATATACAGTATTGGACAAAACATTTGCAACCAACATCGAACAATGCTAAAAAGTGTTCCTAATTTTATTTGTCTTAAAAATGAAACGAACTATACTACCACAGCAAACAGTTCAGGAGTCTGGAGTCATAGCATGCCATGAAATGAGCAATCAGCTGACAGGTGACAGCACACAGGCAGAATTTCGTTGACAAGTGCCATTTTGCAGCATACATATATATACTGTGAAGCATGGTGGAGGCAATGTAATGGTCTGGGGGTGTTTTTCTGCTAATGGTCTAGGTTCAATACATCGAATCGATAGAATAATGGACCATTTCATGTATAAAAATATCATGGAAGATGTTATGTTACCTCATGCTGAATGGAATATACCAATAAAATGGGTTTTTCAGCAAGACAACGATCCCAAACACACTGCAAAAGTAGTCAAGCAGTGGTTTCAAGACAACCATCTATTGGTGATGAATTGGCCGCCTCAATCCCCGGATCTCAACCCTATCGAGAACCTGTGGGAGATCGTCAACGGCAGAGTTAATCATGAATGTGTTCGTAATAAGGATCAACTGTTTGAACAAATCCGAAAGGCTTAGGCAGCGATTCCACAAAGTTTCATTGATCACCTGATCGATTCTATGCCTTAAAGATGCAAGGCTGTGATCGACAACAAAGGATTCTCCACAAAATATTGATACGAATACAGCTTGGTCAACATTTTGTGGAGTTGCACTTGTTTTGTCCAGAAGGAAATCAACTTTTTTTAATACTTTTGATTAATTTATTAATTTTCGTGTACAAATAATGAACTTTGTGATGAATAAAATTTGAAGAACGTTGTCTCTAAACAGTTACATAGTTATTTCTCTAAATTGAAAAAATACAGCACTTTTATACAAAGAAACTAAATTAGCATCATTTGGTTGCACTGGTTCTCTCCGATACTGTATGTGTGTGTGTATGTATATATATATATATATATATATATATATATATATATATATATATATATATATATATATATATATATATATATATATATATATATATATATATATATATAATATTTCATAAAAATAGATTCAGAATTCTACATGTCTTTTAAAGTCATTTAAATGTCATTAATGTATATATTTTAGATATCGGCGACGTGGAAGAAAATGTTGACGGCAATGCAGAAATATAGTTTCTTATGTATATTTTTGTGAAATAAAAATTAAGTAATGTTAGTTAAAATGTTTCTTTACTTATTTAATTTAATCCTTTTTTATGACTAATTTAACCGCTGTAACACCTTTGTATCAAACAAGTCCCAGCAAAGAAAGAGATATCTAAAATGCATCTAATATGCATCTAAAAACTGGTCTAAAAGACGTCTAAATTCATGTCGTGAACGGAACATAAATAGATGTCTATCTTATAGATGTCTTTTAGATGCATTTTATTCGACACAAATAAATGCCTTAGATGCATAAAAGATGTGAAATATACATTTAAAGATGTATATTAGATGCATAAAAGAGCTATTATTAACTAAAAAGTTATCTATTATCTATCTTTTTTAAACGCGCCTTAGACATCTATTTAAGAGACGTATTTTATACATCTAATATGCACCTGTAAGATGTATATTTCACATCTTTTATGCATCTAAGGCAATTATTTGTGTCGAATAAAATGCATCTAAAAGACGTCTATAAGATAGACGTCTATTTATGTCCCGTTTTAGACCTGAATTTAGACATCTTTTAGATCAGTTTTTAGATGCATATTAGATGTATTTTAGATATCTTTTTGTTTGCTGGGTATAAACATATTTCAAATGTTTTACTGTTGCTATTTATGATTCATGATAAAACTAATAATGGAATTGCAGAACACGTAGAAATGTAATCTAACATTTAAGTTATTATATTGGTTTTTCAAACTATGCACATCTCCAAAATTATTTTTATTATGTGTTAAAAAAGCAATTTAAATTTTAATTATTTTAAGTTTTTTTTAAACTAAAAACATTTGTAACATGTAAATGCAGTATTTATCTCCTAATACTTACACCTTAGAACGGTCCAAAATCAATTTAAATACTTTATAATGTTATGTAACTGTGATTATAATAATTGATTATTATATTGCCGCAGCCGAATGCTCGCTCTGACCACAGGTTTACTTAGAAAATGCTTTTTCCATGGTGCTTGTGACAAGACCGTTAGGTCTCTTTGGAGTACCAAGTAGCATAAAAATCTTATTTATTAAAATAGTTAATATAAATACCAGCACATTGGAACAAGCCAAAGACTTTGTGAAGGAAACTACAGCAGATTTGGAAACAGAGTAGGGTATTAGTTCATGAAAATTAGCATAAGCTAAACCGGCAGCAGATGCAACATTGATAATGGTACCACCACTGCCGCCATTCCTAATATTCATTTTTTCCAATGCTATGTAACTCATTTGCATAACTGAAATCTAAATGGATTTAATAACAACAAGTATTAAAGTAAATCAATAAATAGTTAATATTATTAGAATAATTAAGGGTGGAATGCAACAAACGATTTGAGTGAAGTTCAACTTAAACTTTGAAGTCTGACTTTCTAAAGTTAAATTTCAAAAAATAACTTTGAAGCAATTTTTTCGTTTTTAAGTAGCATTTTTAAGTTTAACTTGAAAACGGTCGGTTTTTAAGTATAACATGAGTTTAAGTTTACTCTGCGCATACATTTTTTTTTATGGTTATTTAGGTGCTCCCAGATGTCCTTACGGTCTTATCACTGAGTACCGCGGAAGTGTATTTAACCAGATAGTTCACGCCTCCTTCCTTACCGTGATCCGCAAATATCCAGAGCTTGTTTCGAACACACAAGTAGAATTTTATATTGAAGTATGACTTCAAATTTCAAGTTCTTGCATTCCACCCTAAAACTCTACTCAAACTATTTAATACAGATATTTTAAAATAATAAACTAATACCATATTTTAGAAGTACCACTACATTTCTAGTAAAGACATTTTAACGACGTCTTTAAAAAAAATTATAACGTTAACAATGTTTTGTTATTTTTATTATTTTATTTACTTTTTTTTTTTTAATATTTATGTATTTTACATATTTTTATGATCTTAGTTTGACGGTATCTAAATAAATGTTTTAACTTAGTTTGGTTTAAAGATTATTTATCAAACAGAAAGCAATATATTCTGTATGAAACAACAAAAACAACAAATAGCGCCATAACTTGCGGGGTTCCCCAAGGCTCGATTTTTGGACCATTGTTGTTTTTACTCTATATAAATGATTTATATTCAACATCAAACTTATTAAATTTAATCTTGTTTGCGGATGACTCTAATTTGTTTTATTCACATGGAGACATTTTTTATTCACATGGAGACAAGATAAGAAGTTTTTTATTAATTACAGACTTAAATTTTCTTTTTCTTTTTTAGTAAAATAATATAAACTAGCACAATTTATTTCTTTTATTTGCTTTAACTTTTACTTGTTCTAGATTTATTTTACCATACGAATTTATATACAAACAGTTATATCAATTTTGAAACGTAGTTTTACACATTTTTAGATATTTTATCACAAGCATTAACCACGATTTTATATAATTTATTGCAAAAACGACCTGTAATGAAGTCACAATGGGGCTCGGTTTTATTATTTATGTTATTTTATAAATTGTAACTTTCTACAGCAAAAATTGAAAAAAAAAAAAAAAAATTGTTTATCTAATCGGCGTGACGTCATATTAAAAAATTTATCTTTTTAATTAACTATCTTGAATTAGGTAAAAACAAAGTAGAAAACGGTTGCAATTTTTATTTTTATTTTTTTATACGAGTTCAATCTCTTGGCAGCCATTGCAAGTAGAGGCAATTTTACGGGGGAGGGGGTGGGGGGTAAAATCATCTTCTTTTCCCCGAAGAAGGTGATTTTTAAGTTATAGTCGGTTTTTTTACGAATTGAGTCGGCGAATCTGTTAAACTTTCGTTTTAAGAACCAGTTTTTTTTTTTTTTTTTTTTTTTTTTTTTTTTTTTTTTTTTGGAGCTAGTCGGTACTTTTTGAGGATTTACCTTCCCCCCTTATTTCATTCGTAGAACTGCCTCTGTGTAGTATAGACTTCAAGCATTACATTTACAAATAAATGGTAGTGTAGTTAAAAAACGTACCATTTTGCAAACATTTATTTTGATTGCAATTAATAAAAGTTTTTCAAGCAGGTTCTCTAAATAAGCGCATACTCTCCTTTTTTTCAAGATCAAATTATTAATAACTAACAAAAAATAATTTATTCCTTCTGGATGTCTACAAACGATGATTATATCACAATACAAAGAGTTTTTTTTTTCTATACTTACCTATCAGATCATTACGTACAAGGCTTTGTTTTTTAATTTTTAGTTTTCGCTTTATTTCTACTTATGAGTTTTTAATGTTACGTGAAATCTCACATGAAGTTTATTGCAAAGATGCAAATGAAAGGGATGATAAGACTGTAGTCTTCTACTTGCTCCTGTCAATATTTTAATTTTTAACTTATTTATAAATGTATACATATAAATATATTGTATTTACAAATTTATTAAAGTTAATTGAATGTAAAATATATAGTGACGAAATAAATTTTTTATGCGCAGCTTTATTCCATAGGAATAAAGCTGAGTTTATATGTAAACAATTTATACAAACACATACAAATGTAAAAAATCTTATAAAACTGTTAATATACCTGTTTAATATAAAAAATCTTTTCTAATTATTAAAAGTCTTTTTTCCTTTAACTGTTTTGTTTTGAGTTTCTGTATTTATATTAGTATATTTAAAAAAAATTTATAAGATTGAAAAATCACGAAACGTCTTGTTTTATCCAAGTGAAAAATTTAAAGCTTTGTTTTTTGACTTTCCCCTCTCATGATAATATCAAGAGAGGGGTAATCACAATCACAAATATATTTGTTGAAATTGCGTCAGTATAATCTATAAAAATGAGAAGGCTTTGCAAGTTGTTGAAGCCAACATTTTTTGGCGTATGGACGTCACTTTGTGGCAAAAAACTAGAAAAAACAAACTATAAATAAGATTTATATTCAAAGTTTTAAAGAAAATTTCTTTTATTAAAACTATATAGAAGCATCATCACTATATATTATTGCTTAACTTAATAGTATCAATGCTTATTTGTGCGTGTTTACACGAAACAAGAGGCAACCATTGAATTCGAGATAATAGGTAGATGGAGTATCTCATTACTTTTTTTACAAGAAAGTTTAAACGAATAGCTAACTCGTGTAATTTTTAATATTTAAATAAATATATTAAAAAATTATAATATTTAATATATATATATATATATATATATATATACACACACACACACACACACACACACACACACACACACACACACACGCACACACACACTTACTAAAGCATGTTTTTATAAGCATTTGCTCACTTTTTTAGCTTACCTTAACCCATACGGCTATTTTAGAAAAAGTAGAAAAAAAAACAAAGAATGATGAATAAAACGATTGCTACCCCATCCCAAACCCTTAGTCGATGTAGCAGCACTCCACTGCAAGTCAGACTATTTGTCAGTCGATGTATGTACTGAAGCCCCCAGCTTTATTAAAACGTAAATATCTAACTCGTGTAATTTTTGGAATATGGAAACAGAAAAGTTTTTTTTTTTTTTTTATGTATATTTTTGTCATTAAAAAATAATCTTTTACAATGTTTTTACAACATAAAAATATAACATTAAAGTTTCGACCGGAGCTAGCAGAAGACATGGTCTTATTACCTAGCCCCGTTAATATGACAAAAAATTCAGCCGATGAAAATGAAAAAGGAAAAAAGAAACTAAAGGAAGAACTGATTTAAAAGTCAATTTACTATTTACAGAAAAAAATTAAAAAAATTTATTATTTTTTTAAGTGTGTGTATGTGTGTGTGTGTACACACACACATACGCACAAGTACACAAAAATATATGTCCGTTCATATATAAATACAAAATCAAATAAATCTGTTTTATATTCCATCTACAATAAGCGTAAGATATAATAAATATTGCATTTACAAATTGCGTTATTATTGTAAAATAAATGAATATCATACATGTTCTAAGTACCATACAATATAATTATGATGTTACGTGAATTTATAAGACATTAAATAACTAAAAATATCAAAAGTTTTTAATAATAGGATAGTAATTGCTTTGTATAAAAATCAAATTAGTGTTATTTTGTTGCATGTTTAAAATGTTGAGTTGAATTTAATGTTTTTATATTAGGGGAGAGCGGGGTTGGTTGTCACACTTTTTACATTTTAGGCTGCTCAGCTTTTAATTTTCATCCAATCAATGCCAAACTTTGCACAAAGCTAATTTAACTATTTCCAGTAACTATTATAATACTTTTATGACATTGAGTGAAATATTTATTGCTGTAAAATCATTTTTCAAAGACCACTTCTGTGTGACAACTAGCCCCGCTCACGGGGTAGGTTGTCACATGGTGCGGGGTTGATTGTCACATTTGGATTTTGACAAGTTTAGATAAGAATTTAATGTAAAACGAGTACAAATTAATTTCGTTTATGTTTTACTAAGAAAAACAAAAATAAAATACTATAAACTGAAATATATATATTTTAAATATAACATAATTAACAAATTTAGTTTATCACTATAAATGTTTTTAGGTTTGGTTTTTTAAAAATTATTGGATAAAGAACACAATTCACAAATAAACTGTTGTAAGCCTGGTGTGCATTCTTCATGAGCCCATTTTTGGCAAACCTGACATTGAATCCACTGTTCTCTTGATCGGCTGTTGGAAAATGATTCAAAACAATAGATGCACAGATACTCTTTATCTTAAGATGAATTTAAGACTATAGAAGGTTTTTTCGTAGCAAGATTTGCTTTTATTAATTCTTTTTTACTTCCATTAGTAAATTTTTTTTTATTAGTTTTCTTCTTTTTATAATTAGCAAGCCATGCTTTGACAGGCGTGTTAGTAAGAATCATAGTTGACCGCTTTTTCCTACCTCTTTTTGATGCTAACCTCGGACCTGCTTTAGGCAGAGGCCTAATACTCTCAGGTGGTATGATTGAATTGTTAAAACCTAATGTTGTGATTGGGTTCTGATTAGGGGTTTTATTTAATACAACTGGATCTTCTATTGTTATGTCTACCTGATTACCTGGTATCTGAATAGATTCTTTAAATCTTTTATTTGATGGTTCTGGTTGCATTGAATAAGATTCACAGTCTTTTTTATTTGAATCAGCCTGTGAACAAGGTGGGTCAGGGCGATCAGTTACATAGTTAGGACAGTAATCAATATCAGTAAACACATCAGGATTTAACGGGTAAATACCTGTTGCAGAAAAACCACTTAAAATATTGTGGGGAGATACAGCCTTTGGAAATGCAATGTTTACT